TTCGAATTTTAGTTGGAAGTTAGAAGAGTTCAATAGTCATTTTTTCAATGGTTTATTGTTGTAGTAATTTCTATTAGAATTTCGATTGTGAATATTTCTTTTGGGTCATATTTCAACTGTTTGGGAAAATTGCCTCTAGAAACCTCAAAATCCAATCGAAATCCCAATGAAAAAGTAATTCTAACAAAATATTTTCGTTGGAATCCGTTGGAAAATTCCAACAAAAATCATAGCATCGTGGAATATTCATTGAAATTGATGTTGAAATCATCAAAATCCAAACAAAAAATTTGTAGCGGAATATTATGATTGAAATTTCTGTTGGAAAATTCCAACGGAAGTTGTACCAATGAAATTCCTTTGGATTAAATTTTTTGTTTGAATTTTGTAGAGTTTCCTTGTTGATCGAGAACTACTTGATGCAAAGAAATTGTAATTGATGTTGGAATCATTAAAATCCAATGGAAATTCCCAATGAAAAAATAATTCTAACGGAATATTAACGTTGGAATTTACCGTTAGGAAAATTCCAACGAAAGTTGTAGCATTGGAATCGCCATTGGAATTCTGGCAGAATAACTTTTTGTCTGAATGTCATCATTTTCTTATAATTCCCTCGTTAATTTTGAACTACTTGGTACAAAGAAATTGAAAATTCCGACTACCTAATGTAATAAAAATCGTAAAAACTACTCAACATTTTTTTTTTTCCCAGATTATCGCCTAAAGTTGTGACGGTTGTGGAGCAAGACCTTAGCCACGGAGGCTCGTTCTTGGGCCGATTCGTGGAAGCCATACACTACTACTCGGCCTTGTTCGACTCATTGGGAGCTTGCTACGGAGAAGAAAGCGAGGAAAGGCATGTCGTGGAGCAGCAGCTTCTCTCGAGGGAGATCAAGAATGTATTGGGCTTCTTCGGATCAGGCCCATCATCGCCCGTCAAATTCAACAATTGGAGGGAAAAGCTTCAACAGTCGGGCTTCAAAGGCGTGTCGTTGGCCGGAAATGCAGCGGCTCAGGCGACTCTTTTGCTAGGAATGTTTCCTTGCGATGGTTACACGCTAGTCGAGGATAACGGGGCGCTTAAGCTCGGGTGGAAGGATTTGTGCTTGCTTACTGCTTCGGCTTGGAGGCCAACAAGTTGTTCTTCTTCTAGTGGGAATTGCCATAACAACTTTCAAGTACCATTATCCTCTATTGAATAATGTAATACATATGATGATACTTGTGTGCCAAGTCAGTTTTAACATCAATCATGGATGCATGTCTTTTGAAGAACACATATATGTTAGTTCCTTCCTTTTTTTTTTTTTGGTNTCACCCTTTGATTTGCCTGGTTTGCATGTTACATCTTTTGTTCCTCAGAATTTTATGAATATTATATAAAATCTGCTAATTAACAGGGCATAATATATAGATTATGCAAAATATATACCATTAAAAAGTTATTGTATAATCAAGGAGTATTAATTTACATATGAAAATTAAAAATATTTTTTATTTTTTTAGAGAATAAATTACATATTTATTTATTTTTTGCAAAAAAAGAGTGCTTAAGCCTTGTTGACGGTAATAACTGCCAGCTTTCCCCACTTGGGGGGTCGGACCACTTGTGAGCCATTGACCATGCACTGGAGACTCATGACCTTCTACAGTGCTTTTGTCTTAGGGTGAAAACTCATCTTTGAATTCTCTGGGGTTTTTGCTCTTTCCCAGATTTTAACTCTGCACCTTGAGCATAAGGTGAGGTTTATGACAAGTTTGGTACCATTCCACCAATTGGACAGGGTGCGGACTTGTCATCTTTATAAAGTAAATATGCCCTATGGAAATCAAGTATTTTTATAAAGAAAACTTCGATACTTTCAATTATAATATAAAATTATATACATATATACGCATATCTATATATATATATATATATATAAAGAGGTTGTTGAAAAAATACATTAATAGAAAGTTTGACCAAATAAATATAATGTTTGACTTACTATTAATGGAAAATTAAAAAAAAACACATGTGAATCTTTAGTAACAAAATCTAAATCCTATTTTTTTGGTAACAAATTTGGAGATTCTTATGGCAAAATTTGAATCCTATATTTTTCGTATCATATTTTATTTTTTACCAAAATTTAAATCATATCTTTTTTGGTAACAAATTTGGAGATTCTTATGCAAAAATGTGTCAATTATTTATGAAAACAGTTCTAAATACAAATTAATTTAAAAACCGTACAAATTGAATACAAATTTAGGAAGCAAATAGTTGTATAATTTTTAACTAATTTTTCCAATCTTATTGAATATATTTTTCTTTCAAAAACTTGTGTAAATTAGATAAACCACGTGCAATTTTTATTTTAAAATAAAACTGATATTTGGACGGGATGTACATTCAAAATTGTGTCCACATTTTCTGGTAACAAAAGCGGTTCATCATTAATATTTAAAGTCACCTTATCCAATTATTTAGGAAAAATTATGTGCAACTTTTCAAAATTTAAATGCATCGATTTTTTGGATTCTTATGTTTTTTCTTAACCATGTTTTACGGAGATTTTGGTAAGTTCATATAATTTATTTTTTTTTTTGGTTAAGTTCACATCATTTTCTTTAGGAAAGAGACAGTTGCATAAACATTAACAATTTATTTCAATTTATTATTAGAATTATTTTCAATTCAATTTGTTTAGTACAAAAATTAGTGCGATGTTAGTAAAATTTGGTTGCATTTTTAGAAAAAATTGATGCTTTTTTTATTTGGTTTAAAAAAAGATCCGATCAATTTGTTTGATAAAAAAAATTGGTTATTGGTAGGAAAATCGGTTTCACTTCCGGGACTAACTAATGATTCTTTTGAATTTTTCTTAATTGAAATTTAGAATTAGATTTAAAATAAATAATAGGTGAAAATTCCTAAAAAATTTCACTTTTTTTTTTTCTACTTTAATTTTGTTCAATAAATAAGATCCTTTAATTTTTTTAAAATTTGTTAACTAATAACTAATAATATGCAATTTTGGATAAATTCGAACACCTATGTAGTACTTTACGTGCCAAAGAATCAAATCAATAATGTTGTACATAAGAAAGTGTTTAATAACATATAAATTTTATTTTCATGAAATTTTTAATTGCATGAGACAATTTAAATACAAAAATATCTTTTAAAAAATATATATATATAATAAATGCTCCCGTGCATCGCACGGTCACCGTACTAGTTTACTTTATAACATATTACACTTTTAATATAATTTAAATATTACTCTTACTTTATAATTTTGGTTTGATATTCTGTTATAATACGTTACCCTAGGTGTTTGAACAAGACAAACCGAGTTCAAGCTCATAATTCTAAAACTTGGACTTAAAATTTAAAGACTCAGTTTAATTGATTCTTTTACGGAAAAAAAAGATAGAGAAAAGTTGTGGACAAAAAAGAAACAAATAAATAAGGGGTGGACAATAATAGAAAGGCCGTATTTAGTGAATACGGTTTTTAAATTTTTTATTTGTAAAACGTATTCCATGAATACGGTTTCCTTTGTAAAAAAAATGTAAAAAACGTATTTAAGGAATACGTTTTTTAATTAAATTACACAGAAAACGTATTCACTAAATACGTGCTTTCTATTTTGGTCCACTCCCCCCCTTTTTTTTTGTTTTTTGTCCACTTATTATTTTTTTATAAATAAATATATAAACTACCCCAGTTTAATTCATTTATCAGTTATAGTAAGATGAATTCCATTTTTAACGAAGCGAATTATTGTAAATCAATAATAAATTACATATCNATATATTTTATAAACGAGCTTGTCTCGTGCAAGAGCTGTACTATTAACGCTATTCAAAATGTTGACACTGTACGTAATGATTGGGCACCCTTGCCTCATATGAGTAAATGCTGATGGGCTGATAGGCCCACATAAGATTGCAACTTGCAACGATTTTTTTATTTTTTTATTTTCAGTTCTTATTTTTTCTCTTGTTTTGCTGTGTTGTCTTTTTTAATTCTTCAAACATGCTCCATGTTAGTGGGGAGAGAGATAAATAAAGATATTTGTTGGTGAGAGGGACAAAAAAGCCAAATTAACTGCTTGTTCTATTTCACTCTTGTGGTAAAAATTCTATATTACATGAAAAGCCATACATATTCCTCAAAGAGGAAAAGACAAATTATACAAATTATATATAGGTGAGAATGAAATTACAACTCACCTATGCATGTCTAGCATTATACAAAGTTATAAATACTTATTTCCTTTTGCAACTAAATATTTTTTCTTTAGAAATTTTATCAATATTGTCCAAATTTAAGATAAAAAAGAATATATTATTAAATATAAAAACGACCATTCATTTGATACATTTCAAAATAAATAATAATTTGTTCTCGTCAGACTAATATCAGATATTGTATTATTTATATATTTCACTTTATATTTCATTCAATCCAATTAACGTGACAGAACATATAAGAATTACATCTTTAGAAAATAAGATTATACATTTTTTACTTAATTAGCCAAATGTGAAAAGTTGAACATGAAAATATGACACCTCCCACCATATCGCTACAACTTAAATTAAATTTCCACATCTTGATATATACAATTCACTTCCACAAATAACCCTCTAGTACTCTATATACTTATTTATTCATTTTCAATTCAATTAGCGTGACAGAAAATAAGAATTACAACTTTAGAAAATAATATTTTACATCTTCTATTTAATTGGACCAAATTTGAAAAGTTGAACATGAAAATATGCCTCCCCACCATCCACATCTTGATATATTCAATTCATTTCCAGAAACTCTGGTACTACTCTATTTATTTATCTAACTGTCAAGTCATTGTCAATTAATAAAGCTTAATTAACCTAATCAAATTTTCAAAGTCACAAATCTTGATTTATTATAATACTATTGCTTTTTCTTTTTACCAAATTTTATAATCTCACACGCTATTTAGCACCATTGTGTCAACCTCAACACAATTCAACCAAATTTGACTCATTTTCCTTATAACTTTTCAAACATTACAAAACAAAATCACCCTTTATTCAAAGCAGGAAAACACAATTAATATAAATCAAATCACCCGATACTCAGAGCAGAAAATACAAATACACAAATCACTCCATACTCAAAGCAGGATGGAGTCGAAAGCCTACGAAAACGATAATCACATTTTCCGATCCAAACTACCCGACATCCCCATACCCGACCACCTTCCCGTCCACGCGTACATCTTCCAAAACCTCCACCGCCACCCGTCCCGCCCGGCCCTCATCGACTCCGCCACCGGAAAAACTCTCACCCACTCGGAAGTCGAGCTCGCCGCCGGGAAATTGGCCGCCGGCCTCCACGGCCGCCTCGGAATCCGGCGAGGCCACGTCATCATGCTCCTCCTCCACAACTCGCCGGAGTTCGTAATCTCGTTCCTCGCCGCCTCCATGGCCGGCGCCACCGTCACCACCGCGAATCCCAACTACACCGCCTCGGAAATCGCTTCGCAGGCGGCGGTTTCCGGTCCGGCGGTGGTCATCACCCACTCGAGCTACGCCGGAAAGGTGACATCATCGAGCGGCGCGAGGAATCCGATAGTCCTCACGATCGACTCCCGGAGATTCTCCGAGCTGGAGGAATCCGACGAGAGGTTGTTGCCGGAATCCGGCGGCGGCCGATCCTCCGACACGGCGGCGCTCCTCTTCTCGTCCGGGACTACGGGGATGCCGAAGGCGGTGATGCTGAGCCACCGGAACTTGGTGGCGTGCCTGGCGCAGAAAGGGGGAGGGGAGAACCCGAACTTCCACGTGGACGGGGAGCGTGACGTGGCGCTATGCGTGCTGCCGCTGTTCCACGTGTTCTCGCTGGCGATGGTGCTTGTTGTCATAAGAGCGGGGGCAGCCGTGGTAATTATGCCGAGGTTCGAAGTCGGGGCGGTTTTGGAAGCGATCGGGAGGTATCGGGTGACGATAGCGCCGCTCGTGCCGCCGGCGCTGCTGGCAATTGTCAAGAGTTCCGCGGCTGGCGGCGGGAAGTATGACCTGTCGACAGTGAGGAAGGTGTACAGTGGGGCGGCGCCGATGGGGAGGGAGCTGGAAGCCGCCGTCAGGGAAAGGCTCCCAAACGCCGTAATCGGCCAGGTGGATATAATATTATTACTTTNATAATAATAATAATAATAATAATAAAAGAATTCCCACTCCTCTCCTCGAGAAAGATGAACAAGATAAGGGGAAATGAAATAGGTAAGAAAAGATTAATAAATAGAAATGAGAAATGAAAGACATAGGAGTCAATCCAGGCTAAAGGGTGTTAGGAAAGCTAGGTAAAAAAAAAGCTGTAAAATATTTATGTAGGATTTGATCCAAACCAGAGAATATATGTAGGATTTGATCTTCTTCAGAGATTCTCTCACCAATAGAGGCCAAAACATCACAGCAAGACTTGATCTTTCTAAGAAACTCCCTCATCCTCATAGAACCTTTGTTGAGGGACTGCAGTTCCATCTTGTACTGCATTTTTCTAGCTTGTGACTGACTGGAAAAGTTTGTGGAAAGGGCTTCCCACATATCTTTTGAGCTCTCCAATCCAACAATAAGAACCAGGAGATTCTCAGATAAAGAGGATAGAATTCAAGAGGCCAACAATTGATCTTGTCTAAGCCAAGTTTCAAACTCAGGATTTGGGCTAGGAACTGCAGTTCCTTGAGTATCTGTGGTGAGAATGAACCTCTCTGGGGCTGTCCGTTACTTAGTGATAAAGCCCTCAAGCCCATATCCTCGAATGGCAGTGATCAATTGTTGTTTCCAAACAAGGTAGTTGGTTCCTGTGAGTTTAGTGGCAAGAATTTGGTTCTGTGGGTGAATAATAGGTGACTGAGCAGCAGAGGTTACATCACTCGTAGTGGACATGAGGAAAAAGGGAAAGGTTTAATGATTAAAGCAGGGAAAAGGATTTGAAAGAGATTGTCCCTTCATGAATCAGAGACAGGTTCAGAAAACCTGCTCTGATACCATGTTAGGAAAGCTAGGTAAAAGAAAAGCTGTAAAATATTTCCATTGATAATAGCAAATGAATTCTCTCTGTTCTTGTTACAAGCAGAACGATGACTTACATATATTTATAGTCCATATTGGATCTATCTAGAGACTTGGAGGATAAGGATAAAAAGGACTACACAAAGGACAAAAATTCAAAAAGATGCTCCCAGCTCATATGTGGGAAGGCAGAGGGCCGTTGCTCTCTTTTGTACTATGCATGACCATGTTGGTCTCCATGCATGGTGACTGCTGACGTCGTGGCAGCGTCAGTTGATGAGTGGTGCCTCTGATGATGCTACTCTAACAAAGGGCAGCCAAAAAGGGATATGAGTCATATGACCTAACTCTCTCGCTTTCAGAAGTTCTTCTTCTTATTATTATTATTTAAGAGAAAAATGGTACCTAACATTTGTAGATTTGGGTAATTTTTACCTGGCGCTGTCTCAAACGTGAGATCTGACATTCTCACTTTTTGTCTCTTTAATAACCTTTTTAAATTAAAATATGATTATGAAATATCCTTTTTTTTTAAACAAATTTACAATTTATCACTTGCTTATTTTTAATTATCAGTTATTATTGATTTTATTTTTCTATAATAAAAACATTAATAAAACACATCACTTTTTCTGCCTTTTCAAGAAAACGTTTGTGGTGTTATTGTTGACTCTTCTGTTTCGTACACGAAAATATTGGACATGAACTTTGATAGCTAACCGTAGAAACTCATACCTTAATTAAGACCCGTGACATTGATAATGATCAATACTTATTCTGTTTAGATTTAATGTCATGGGTGATACACATTTCATTTTGCAGATATAATAATAACCAAAAATTTTGTTGACTATTAGTACCATACTAGTATTCGATCCTGTGCACATGCACAGAAGGAAACAAAAATTTATATATTATATGTACGTATATGATACCTAAAATTTTAAATTAGATAAAGTGTATATTACATTTAAAATTTTGAGTATATGTAAATATATAATATAAATATAAATTATCTAACATTCATATAAATCAATTTTTTTTTTGTTATAACTATAATACAAAATAGGAATATTAACTGTAAAATAATTTAATATTGTATATTTAGAAAATTAAAATCTTGTAAAATTGTTACAACATAAAAAATTAATAATAATAATAAGATTTTAATTGTGTAATTGTCATTTGATTGCTAATCATAAATATTTTTATCAAATTGACTCCTATTTGCATTAATTGTTGGTTGAATAAAATTTATTGTCATAAAGATTTTTATTAAATGAAGTCCTATTTTTATTAATGGCTGATGAATAAAATTTATTGAAGCTTTGTAGCAATTATATATATAGATATATATAACTTATATAATAAAATATCATATTTTTATATGTATATTATTTTATAAAATAATAATATTACACCACTACAAAAAAATTGTTATATTCCAACGGAAAATCCTATGGTAATATATTCCAATGGAAATTACAACCGATATTCCGATGGTATAGCTTCCGTTGGAATGTATTTTTCATTGGAATTTTAGATGGAATTTGATGATTCCAACGGCTTTTTACCGTAGAAATTTCCGTTGGAATTTTTATTTCCATCACCGTTGGAAAATCTACCGCTGAAATCGTCAAAATTCAACGGAAATTTCAATTGAAAACTCATTCCAACGAAAATAATAGCATTGAAATATCCGTTAGAATTGCCGCTGGAATTCTATTGGAATATATTTCTATTGGAATTTCATCCTTTTCTTGTAGTGCACTCGGATATAAAAACATATAAATACATTAAAAAAATATGATTATTTTATAAATACATGCATACATGTATCTCGTCCTCAATCTATTAGTCACCTATGCTTTCTTAAAAGAAAAGAAAAAAGAATACATAACAATATAGCATTACATTTAAATATAAAATTATTTCAAGCAACCGTAAAAATATGATTATATAATCAAAATTAACAATATCACTGTAATAATAGATTATCTAGTCTTCAATCCACCGAACATTGACTCGAGCGGATCTAACGGCTCAAGTCAAGATACCTTCCCCATTTCATAAGTAATAAAAGAAAAAGGCCTTAAAAAGTTTTAAAATGATTACAATTACATTCTAGTTAATGATATCATGATGCGTGCACTATTTTCCAAATTTTCTAGAAATGGTATCATAATTAATCAATTTTATTCCAAGATAGTTAATATAATACATGTTATTCTTTTTTTATTGTATGAAATGAATAGGGTTATGGCATGACAGAAGCTGGAGTAATATCAATTAGTCTAGGATTTGCCAAAAAACCATTCGGGTTCAAATCGGGTTCGTGTGGAACTGTAGTTAGAAATGTGGAGATGAAGGTGATTGACCCGTTGACCGGAGCATCTCTTTCAAGGAACCAAAAGGGGGAGATTTGTGTAAGAGGAGTCTCCATAATGAAAGGTACGTAATTAATTATAAATTATGTGTCATACATAATTAATTCAGTTTAGTTTTTCTTTTTTCTAACCTATATTTATAAGTTACTAATAATTACTATCAAGCAAGACCACGATGCATAATGCAATGATTAGTCTTATTAATTTTATGCTGGTCTAACAAGTAAATCGATATATTTTCTTTTCATAAATATCAGACTTTTGAAAAAGAATATAAATATAATTATGACATTTGAAAGGTAGGCTAAATGTTATAGTTGGACCAGTGAAAAAACAAAAATTTCACCCAGTGGACCAATTTGTAATAGTAAGCATGTAAATCGTGTCAGCTCAATCTTTATGAGAAATGATCACATGCCCACGGTGGGCATATGTTAATATGTCCATCGCTGATGTGGCATGCACACATTGGTGATATTAATATGTTAAAAAAAATATATCACCAATGTGTGCATGCCACATAAATCAGTGGACATATTAACATGTGCCCACCGTGGACATGTGAGCATTTTTCCAATCTTTATAGAGGTGTTGCATTAATTGATACACAGTTCAATTCATGTAATTAACTCTTTAATTTTTCTAGATATTCAAAATATTTGTACTTGTATAATTATTGAAAAAACAATTTTTTTTGGTTAGAAAATGGATTTAATTGTATTTTTGTAGTACTAAAAAAGTCGGAAAAGCCAACTAAAGACTTAATTAGAAAATCCAATAAACCCATTTACAATTAATAATCTAAAGCTAAAGTGAAGAATTATAATTAAAATTAATTAAATAATGTATTGTAAATATTTTTTTATGATATATTTTGCTAAATTCGACATCTTTATGACCATATCTTACTGTACTTCTTCAACTTTATTACAATATGCTTAATCTTTCGGTTAAAAAAAAATAGATGAATTATCCCTATTATAATTCTCTTATACGTAGAAAGATTCTACATAGATTTGTGATTTTTAACCCTGTGGTTAATTAAATTAATCATGGATATTTTAAAAAAAAGGTTATTATAACGACCTTGAGGCGACCAAGAGAACAATCGACGGTGATGGATGGCTACACACGGGGGACATTGGGTACGTGGACGATGACGATGAATTGTTCATTGTGGATAGGTTGAAAGAACTCATCAAGTACAAAGGCTTCCACGTGGCGCCTGCAGAATTAGAAGCTTTGCTCATTGCGCATCCGTCCATATCTGATGCTGCCGTGGCGCCTGCAGAATTAGAAGCTTTGCTCATTGCGCATCCGTCCATATCTGATGCTGCCGTTGTGCCGTAAGTTTTATTTTTCATTTTTATTTTTAGTTTTTGTAAAACAATTGTCGAGCATAAATGTTGTAAGAAAATTTGGTTGTGTAACGAATTTCCAAAATTCCATTTTATATTGAAATGAATCACTAGATAAATTGCAAAATACATCCACGTAATTTGGATATGATAATTTTGTCTAACAACTTTCGTGATTATCCACAAATTGTCCAGTAACTTTTGTGATTACACAAAATGGCCACTAAGCAATTAAATCGTGAATATTATGTTAAAATATGTGAATTACATGGAATTTTTAGAAATTCATTAGTGATTTTTTTTTTTTTTAATGTTTGAATTTTGGACATTTGATCTATTTTTAGTAGTTAATTAGTGCATGGATATATTTTACAATATTGCACAAATTGTTATTTGATTAAAGGTACGAATAATATAAAAAATGTGGTGTAGATAACATATTTGTATCTGACAGCATGAAGGATGAGGCCGCCGGTGAAGTTCCAGTTGCGTTTGTGGTTCCGACGAACGGTTCGAATATTTCAGAGGAGGATATCAAGCAAAAAAAAAAACACATTGTTTTTGTTTTATATTTAAAAACACAAAACACATTTATTTTGCGTGACGGGTAGATTCGCAACTTAACTGATTAAAAAGTGAATAGCACATTTATGTCAAAACTATTGTTAGAATATCACTTGTGAGTTGTTCCAAATCGTTTATGCATGGAAAATAGACCCACCTTATAAGTCTAATGGGTTATTCCTCCTTCCACCAATTTGTTTTAGGATGGAGCCCCACTTGGGCTTCATCTGAGCTTTCCCTGCTTATGGTGCGCTTGACGTGCGTGGGACCGCACCCGCTATTCACCCGGTTTCTTACATGGTATTAGAGTCGGTTCTATATGGGACCGTGCGATGACGTACCTTTTGGCTTGGGGCATCCAACTCTGTATATGGGCTTTTGCTTCTTATTAAGAACTCACAAGTGAGGGGGCATGTTAGAATATCACTTGTGAGTTGTTTATACATGGAAAATAGATCCACCTTATAAATCTAATAAGGTACTCCTCCTTCTATCACTTGGGCTTCATCTAGGATTTTTCCTGTTGGTGTGCTCCACGTGCGTGGTACCGCACCCGTTTTACTCCCGTTTCTTACATTAACCTAACAACTATAAGGTAGATCATTCCATTATATTGTTTTAAGAAAAATGTATCTGACAAATTTTATTTATAATTTTGTACAGGTGGTATCTTATAAGCAGATTAATAGGGTGTTTTTCACTAAGGAAATCCCAAGAGCCCCATCGGGGAAAATATTGAGGAAAAATCTGAGGTCAAGGATTTAATGGTGAAATAAACTTTGGAAATTAAGTGAACTTTTGCACTTTTATTTACAGTTACTTTTAATAATTTTATTTGTTTGTAATGTGACGATGAGAACTATATCGAAGGATCATTTGGTGAGTTCATTAACTATACAATAATTTCGTATCCATTGGTTAAGTATGGGAATAGGTCTAATTTTTGGGTAACTTTGATTTTATCGGTGACTACATTGTAATCATCGAGTTTTTTTTTACCATTGAATCAACATATATACAAAAAGTTGAACATATGTGTGATATTAAATTATTTATTAATGAGTGCATTGTGGTCTTCGAGTTTTTTAACATTAGATCAACACATATACATGGGTATGGACATATTATGTGTGATATTAGGATATATTTGATTCTATCGGTGACTGCATTGTAGGCTTGTAGCCATCGAGTTTTTTATCGTTGGATCAACAAATATACACGAGTATGGAAATAGGTGTGATATTCGGGTAGTTTCGATTCTATCAGAGACTGCATTGTAGTAATTGGATTTTTTTACAATTGAATCAACACACACATATATATGTACGAGCGTGTGTTGGATCAAATTGTAAAATACTCAATGAATACATAAATATTTGGAAAAAAATCTTTTTCACCCCAATACAAAGATACATTAAGTTTTTCACACCGTCAACTAACAATCTAACGTTTTCACCCCGGAAAGTGCGAAGGTTATGCAAATGGATTGCATAACTATCGCATATCAATTGCATAACTGTCGCATATTCATCGCGCAACGCCTTCGCACTTTAATTTTTTCTACCCCAGAAAGTACGAAGGGATATGCGAATGCCTTCGCACTTCTAACTTTCGCACAATATCATCGCGCAACTATCGCATATTCATCGCACAATGCCTTTGCACTTTCACTTTTCCCATCCCAGAAAATGTGAAGGGATACGCGAGTGCCTTCGCACTTCTAGCTTTCGCACAATGTCATCGCGCAACTATCGCATATTCATCGCACAATGCCTTTCGCACTTTCTGGGGTGGAAAAAATTAAAGTGCGAAGGCATTGCGCGATGAATATGCGACAGTTATATACCGAAAATATACGTGATCTTGTTCATTGTCATTTGGTTGCAAAGGTATGATCCAAATTCATAAGTATATTTGTTGTTGATATACCGTATATATTTGTACTTACGTTGGTGTCTGAGCAAAACAATCGGTGAGATCAAAATTTGAATATGTCGAGATCTTCATCTTCAACAAACCTATTCTTAACCAGATAACAACCTTCAATTCATGATAAATCGAAAATAAAAAAGAAAAAATCGATACTAAACTGCTTCAAATTGCCTCATGCTTGAGCTGTATATATTGCATAAATAATAACATTATATAAACCAATGCTAAACATTTTGATTTTTGAGGTTAGATAATTTGAGACACAATACAAACAAGAAAATAGGGGATAAAATTAGAGATACGAAACCTAATATGTAACAATACAACAAGCTTCAATAGATGAGAAAAAAAAAAGAAAAAGAAAAATAATACTAATCTTGTTGAAAATTGCTTGCTCTGTATATATTACATAAATAATAACAATATACGAAACCTAATATGTAACAATACAACAAGCTTCAATAGATGAAAAAAAAAGAAAAAGAAAAATAATACTAATCTTGTTGAAAATTGCTTGCTCTGTATATATTAATCATAAATAATAACAATATATAAATGCTCAACAAACTCCTCGTCAAGTAGCATCTCGTCCATGCCGATATCTTCACCTTTAACAAAATCGGAGTCTGGTCGGGTTTTGCTTCTGTGAAATTGGAAGACTTTTTATTTCGCCATGCTCGCTGCTTCTACGGTTGTTGTTCATCAACATCGCCTGCGACATTTTCGTCTATAACTTCTTCTCCAATTCTGCTACGCGATTTCTTGGAGCCACTATGTTTGGAATTAGTTTGAAATTGCAGCTTCCTTTGGACAAGCTTGCGGTCGACTTTATGTTTAAGAGTTCTCCTTCGCCGGTGGGATAGTCGATTTTTGCTAATAATTATACTTTTGTTTCTCGACAAAGAAGATGATGTAAAAAAAAAAAAATAGGAACCAATTGAGAGCAATGGCGTGACAGAGAAATGAGATGGTGTGAAATCGTTTCTAATTTATGACAGAGAAAGAAAAGAAAGAGGTGGCGGAAAATTATGAACAATAACCACACCCAATAAAATCGGCAGTTACCAACATGCCACAACTTACCATATAACAAAAAAAGACTTAAAAAAGAAAAGTTCAATATTGAAAAGTGCCGTATCTATGCAAATATTTTATGCATGTAATCCAAATCTGCTAATAAAAAAACAAATTAGTAGATATGCAAATATTTTTAGATGACTTCGTTCGTGGCCTAATTTTCTCAACAATTATTGTACCAACTACCACGCCACAACACAAATGGAACTTTCTTAGAAAAATTCTAATGCATAATGTACAAACAGGGTGTTGCCTATGCTCCTACGTCCTACCTAAACCCTGCCATATATTTTATCCCAAGTAATTAAATCCCACCTACTTAGTATTATTGTTGTTGATAAAAAGTATGATTTATTTATTCACTGTAATTAATTTTATTTAAAATAACATTGGTCACATTGGAACTCCTTCGTATTATATTATATATATATATACATATTATAATATATGATAACTTATTAACCAATATCACATGTCAGGCTTGATAAATAAATTTAATTTAACTAATGAAAAATAATTTGTTATTCTAAAATTTGAATTGATAGGTAAGTTAATTTTTACAAGTTTTAAAGTACTGATACAATTAAAATATGATTCACATGAGCTAAAATAGAACACGATTATTACAAAAATGTCACCGCCTTAGTTTTTATAACGGGTTTAACAAACTCGTTATAGTAACTCTGTTATTAAAAATATTTTTTCTACTAGTACAGAAATTGACAATTACAATTTCAATACATGTTTTCTCAAAAAGGAATTAATGTTGGAACTTGTTGAACATATTAAAATAATAATAATAATTTTAGGTTTATATGCAAGATTATGCCGTAAAGAATTATATTTATAAGCCTTAACGAGCTTGATATCTAAACGAGCCAAACTAAAATTAAATCTTAGCGAGTTGAGTTAAGTTTTGTCTGGAAACTCTACTAGCAAGTTGGATTAGACTAATGATGCGTTTATTTGCTTAATTTTAGCTCTATTTTCTAGGTTACATAAAGATTCAATTAAACAAGTAGTTACTTATCTTTTTGGATTTTTCATGAGTAACTCCTTGTATGCCTCTATAATAGTTTAAATGTCTTTAACCTACATGCCATGATCATAGCGAAAATCAATCTATTTCTTATGAATTTGGATATAATCAATTCAGAAAGTTGAAGATAATGCAAGAAATCAAATTGCATTGTCAGATAATGTCCCTTGGCCAAGCTTAATCATGGACTGGTTCTTGGATCAAGGAGCAACCTAGTATACATACCACCATGCTTTCTTGCCTCATAATTATTGGACTTTTCGTAAGTACTTGTACACCAACATTTCAACTTTTAAGTTGAAAGTATAAACATATGCACGATTTATTTATTTATTTATTTATTATTATTATTATTATTTTGTGGCTAGTTCGATGTTGTGGATCGTGTTCAATTGATTTTTTTTTTTTAAATTTTTGTTTATAAATATACTTACGGATTTGAGAAAGTCTCATTGAAGTTCTCATATTTTGCCATCTTATTTAATTATTGTGGCCATTGATTTTATCTATTTATTAAAGTTACACGAGATCAACATTGATGAAATTTAACGGCCTTATGCGAAAAACATTGCTTATCCAAGGAACGTTAATTCATATCGAATAATTGAGAATTCTAATTGAATAGCATAAACGTATTTGATGGATTCATGTCCGAGTGATTGTGTTGGAACTCAATTTTTATTTTGGGATTGAAGCTCTTCCAAAATCGTGATATGAAGTATCTTCTTCACGGAGACGTAATGAAGAAACCGTAGGAGAGAGAGAGAGAGAGAGAGAGAGAGAGAGAGAGAGAGAGAGAGAGAGACTTTGGTTTCTCTTCTTATTTTTTAATGAAGGATTCCTGGACCCGTTTATATATCATATTTTTGATGAGTCCACAAATTATTACTTTTGACTCAAATTATTTTGTTAATTAGGTCAGTTATTAATTAATATTATTATTTTGTTACGTCATCAAATAATATTAGAGAGAGATTTTGGTTTCTCTTTCTTATTTTTTAATGAAGGATCCCTAGGGCCTGTTTATTTATCATGATTTTTGGGGAGTCCCCAAGTTAGACTCAAATTATTTTGTTAATGAGGTAAGTTATTTGTTAATATTATTATTTACTAGTACGTACCCCGTGCGATGCACGAGACAGACATATTAAATTAGTTATTTTCACAGTCTTTATCCGTTTGAGTATATAAATCAATAGGGTTATCATCTATTTTCGAACTCTTTTAATCAGTGTTAGGTGTAATAAATAATAAGGTTATAATATATTTTGCACCTCTTTTAATTAGCGTGGTTTTTTTAGTCAAAACATTAAATATGAGCATGTTAGAGCTAGCTTGTAAAATAATTAATATATTATCTCACTAACACATTTATACTAATATAAATATTATTTTAGTTGTATATTTATTCCTTAATATAAGAGAGAATAACAATTTTACTTATTCTTGTTTACCATATAATACTTAATTATTATTTTATTACAAACTTTGTGGTCATATAATGTCATTATTATTTATAAAGTTATAGAAGTTGTACGTCTTCTATTTTTTTTTATGTAATGAAAAATATTTAATGCACGTTAGTATTATTTATTTATGTAATCAATTTAAAATATGTAAACATTTTTACTTATATGTTTATTCTTAATTTTCTTTATTAATGAATAAATTGTAGTTAATTTTCATGAATAAAGAAAAAAAATTTAGAGGATGTGTAACATTAAAGTGAAAATTTGCTTTTTTTTTAAAAAAAAAAAATATGTTACAAATTTCCATTAGTAATTATGAATTAGGTTTTTTTTTAAAAACAAAAAATATATTACCATATAGAAGAGATGAGATTTTTTACAGATTTATGCATAAGGATGGGATTTAAAAATCTTTTAAACTTGTCAGAGGCGGATTTAAACATATGTGAGATTTTTCAGTATGTAAGGGTTTGTTATGAGATTTTCAGATTTATGCAAATGAAATTTGTAACTTGTCGACCTATATTCAAAGTCTGTTAGTCTGTTACGCTAGATAAAAGGATCAAATTTTTTAATCTGTCGAGATTTATGCAAAAGAATAGGATTTTTGTAAGCTTGCGAGATTTCTGCATGAAGTTAATTAATTATTATTGAATTTCTAAAATATTACCAGTTATAGTATGTATTAATTATTACAAAATTTTTGTGGCTACTATTTTTAGTAAATAGTAATTCTTTTTATATATATATAGATTACGACATCAAATAATATTAAAGAGGGATTTTGGTTTCTCTTCTTATTTTTTAATGATCCCAGGGCCCGTTTATTTATCATGATTTTTGGGAAGGCCACAAATTATTATTTTGAATTAGATTATTTTGTTAATTAGTTCAGTTATTTGTTAATATTATTATTTGTTACATCATTAAATAATATTAGTGTCCACATTTAATCATTCCACAATTTAAATAAAGTTCCTTAGCCAATATATCTATACAATAATTTGATCACTTACTTTGACTAAACAACATAAGAACTCAATGTATCAATTACACATATTTAATCTCAAAATATGTCTAACAAACATTATTTTTATGTTTCATTTATTACTCAAAATTATCTACTCAAGCTTCCATTATTTTTCTGTTTCATATGTTACTCATTTTTTTGTCTAATCTTGCCTAACAAAAATATTAGTGGTAAGCAAATCAACATTATATGAACTATATATAATTTGATTTCGCTGTATTTATATGTGATTATATTTCTCAAAACTATTACACAGATTTTGATTTAATTGATTAAAAAAATTATCTTAAAATCTGTTGATACAGTTTTTATAGAGTCCTTATTTCTCTATTTAAAATTTATTAAAAAAATATTTTACATATTTTTTTATTATTTTTCAAAGTTTTCAAACCGTTAGAGCATACTGTAAAAGCTCGATTTTGTGTTACTCAACAATACCTTTTTGAATGAGATGTGTGTTTTAGTCAAGTGGATGTTCGTGGTTAATTTTTTTATACGAACATTGTAATTGTTCTGGGTTTAGAACAGTAAGATTATATTATCGGTTCCTTATAAAATATAAATAATTGTTCGCAGTCTAGAAGGGAACTGAACTCCCTGTCGTGAAGATTGTTGTGTGAATCTTGGAATTAGTTGATCTTAAACTAATGGATTACATTAGTACATCCTAGAAGTATTGAACGGACCCACAGGAGGACAAAATTGTTTTATATTGACCAAGTAGATAATCTGGACATCAGTGTTTATTCGTATTCTTAACCCGTAAGATAATTTACGAGCATATGCCGGCACATATTTATTTATTTGATTTATCACGGGTGAGACTTATTCTGGTAGGCCGACATACTCGATATTCTCGTAAGTAATGTCGGTTGCATGATGTGACGTCAATATTGTTTACGGTCACCGTATGTCGGGTATTATACTAATATTGTTTATGGCCTCAGTCTTTCTTTTTTCCTCATGTTTCTTCTAAAACTATGAAAATACTAACTTAAATTATAAGTAGATTTAAAAGTTAATAAAAAATCTATTCATTATCAATTTTTTACACATAATATATCAAATTAATCATGTCTTGATAAACTTCAATTTGACATCTATATTATAATACAAAATAAATAAATAGTAATACTTATTTTTTTAATTATCTATTAATACTTGTTTTGTAGTATTTTGTGGGTAGTTGGTAACCGAGCTACCCGACCTCGAGTCGTTCTCTAAGGAAGACGGTTCGGAGCTTCGTTTACCACTCAATTGTCCAAATCACACAAAATGAGAAAATAAAAGCTAAACATGCTAATCAATTGGTTGGAGAGTGAATTAATGCTAATCGATGCTCGAAATTGAAAGCAACAAACAAACTAGAGAATTAAGCAATTAACACTACCGGAGTCTCTAAGCCATCATCATCAAACGAATCAACAAAGAACAATTTGCAAGTTCTAACACTAGATCACTAATCCCAACCTTCTAATCTAAGTGATTAAGCTCTAAATAGAGTCCTAACCCTTAATCTAGATAGGCAAGCAATTAGTCCCTACTAGAACATACATGAGCAATGACCAAGTCCAAACATTCCCCCCATCATCAAGCAAACACCCAAAATCACCTTGATAAACATCATAAGTAAAAACGGGGCAAAAATCGAAGTAATGAGCTTTACAAGTAAATACCCAATCTTCTATTGCGTGCTAGATGAAAATCGGAGTCAAAAGCTCGGAACTTGAACAAAATAAGAGTCGCCG